CGTCGACGATTTTGATAGTCGATGTAATCGTGACTAATCGACTAATCGTGGCAGCTCTACTTCATATACATCATAACGCCTGAATTTTAGAAAAGCTTAGATGCTAATTTTAAATGGCCAGTCTTCTTAAACAACTCATTCAATTTTAATGAAATTATGATTGTATTAATTTTACTATAACAATTGACAAATGATAACTTTTCAGTCATGTAATGTTTTTATTTTTCTTCCACAACAAGCTTTTGAAAGTACTGTTCTTGAGAGATCACTGGGTGGACTTGGGAATATGTGGCATAAATTGGATGGATTGATGTCTTCATCCATACACAGACATGTAGCCAAGTGATGAAACCAACATATCTACATGTATAATATTCTGGGTAAATGCTGAAACTGATGCTTTGTCACAACATCCTAACCTCACACACCTTGACTTTCCTGGCAGCCTTTGAGAGGGGATAATTCTCATAATTTAATATTTTATAAGATGTCTACTCTATAATGACATTCTTTTTATGAATAATTACAAAAAAGGTGACATATCAAACGACAATTAAAAGGTGAGAAGACAAGAAGCTTATCATTTATGACTAAAACTCATCTAAACATTAAATAGTTTGGAATCGGCTATTTTCAATGTTATATTTTTGGATTCAGCTCTTCAAAAAAAGAGTAATGTTATCTTGGAAGTAGATGACTTCTGAAAAACTGTTGACAATTGTAATACAGCCAAACACTACATACAGTTCCTTCACTATGCAGATGACACCCAAGTATCTTTATGCACAAGCCCATCTAAGACAGTTAAATTACAAATTTATAAAACATCTGTAGCATCTGTCTGTAGATGGGGTTGTTTGTATTTGATGAAGCACAGACTGTAGAAATACCCATTTTTATGTCACCTACTGACTTCTAATTTGTTAGCAAACCACATCTACCATACTAAGCATCAGATTAGTCAAACTAAGTAGCAGCATTTCACTCAGCAGCGCTGGGAGGCAGACTTGTTGGACAGTATGTCAGATTATTCCATAAAAATGATGCAGAAAGTACCAGCACAGTGAAGGGGTCCAGTTCCAAACTATAACTTTAAACCTTAACATTACCCATATGGATAAGTTATTAAGAAAACTAGCCCAATATACAATTGCTATGATGGGAGAAATAAGCCAGAAAAAAACAAGAACAACAAAAACAATTTAAAAGAAGAAACATTTGCACCTGGATGTAAACATGTTATTTTCATCTCTAAATTTATATATTTTAAAATAAGAGTCTGTCTCTATTAACTCCAATGGAGGCAGCTTCAAGTGGTAACTAGAGGAACTGCAGCTTTGAGTACTTGTATGCTAGCTTAATCTTTCAGCCCTGCAGGTTGTTGCTTACACTGAAGCCACTCTCGTGCACTGAAATGTCCTTGGCTTTATCCATGAGCACACAATTTAAAAAACAGTTAAGAACTAGACAGCATTTCAGTCCGTCACATTTGGTTTACACTAAACTTCATTACCTGTGTGCTGCTCCAGGTGAACAAAACAGGAAGCAGGGGGCGGAGCTGGACCAAACCATCTGCTGTCACCACATGGAGGAGGGGAGATATGGTTTTATGTCAGGGGTGAGGGAACTCCAGGCCTCGAGGGCCGGTGCCCTACAGGTTTTAGATGTGTCCTTGATCCAACACAGCTGATTTAAAGGCTAAATGACCTCCTCGACATGTCTTGAAGTTCTCCAGAGGCCTGGTAATGAACTGGACATTTGATTCAGATGTGTTGACCCAGGGTGATATTTAAAACCTGCAGGACACCGGGACTTGAGGCCTGGAGTTGCCCACCCCTGCTTTATGTACTGAGTTTGATCATTGGCCCATTTCAGTGCTGAACAGCTCACCTGTAAGTCTCCTTCTTCTCCCATCGTGCTCCATAGTCTCTCACTTTCTGGTAGAGCATATCATGTTGTGAAATCTTCCATTTTCAACAATTTCTCACATAAAATAGGTTAAAGACAACAAACGAAAGAAATGAAAACTGAGGGTCATACAGCCCCCACAGGTGGGGGAGAGTAAATATAGAATTAAGAATGAATGAAGTTCAATGAATCCGACTTCTGTGGGGAAAATAAACGTTTGCAGAATGACTTGTTTTGGCTGCTCTTCTTCACTATATCCATGCATAATGTTTGCGGTCTTCCTCTTTTCCTCCTGCCCCGTCCCTCCTCTTACTCGACGTCCTGTCTTTTTGTCAGTGTCACTATGTCCAAACCATTTATCACAGCAGGTCTCTCTACCACCTTGTAAACCTCTGCTCCACTCTTGCTGCCACCCTTCTGTAACAAATTGCTCCAGACACTTGTCTCCACCTACTCCACCCTGTCTGTGCTCTCTTCTTCCCCACTCTCATGCACTGTCAATTGCTTTGGAAGCTTGATATATTTTAAACTATCTCGAGCCGATCCATGATGGCCACTCCAATCATGAATGAGTTTGAGAAGCAGACCTTTAAATTTCAGAAGAAAGAAAAACTGTGCTTAGTTAAGGTAATGAAATATTAGAACTCTAGGTGTACGTACGCTTGCCTCAGTGATCCATTAAAATCAATCATGGTCTACTTCTAATGACTTCAGTGATCACTGATTTGAAGATTTTTTAGTGTGTAATTATTTTATTTAAAGAGAAGACTGTTATGAACAGTGATGACGGTGAACAAAACTGGGAAACGTCGGCGTCCTCCTCTGAAGCTGATTGCTTCAGTAAATTGCAGCCAAACTCTGTCATCCATTTACTCTCACGAGGGACACGGCGTTAAACTGGTTGGACTTTGACTTGGGGGTGACAAACATCACTCGGACAAACTTTGATCTATTTTCCTTTTGTTATCCAGATTTATTCCAGATCATCACAGAGCTCTTCTTACTCAGATATTGTGCGCCATATCTGTAATTCAATCTGCCAACAGAGTGCAACTTGTGACCTGTGTGGATATAAAATGACACTTTGCATCTGTCGAGCTTCAAGTGTCAAATCAAATATCTGAAAACGCTTTTAGAAGCTCAGCCTGACTGTAACTGATCACACACACGAGTCGAGCAGCTGCTAAATATACCTTTAAGTCGGTGTGCCCTCCACTCAGTGTATCCTGGAGACCAACATAGAAAAAAAGGACTAAATGTTTCATTCAGTTCAGTTAAGTTTGTGTCTGAGGTCATAAACTGCGCTTCGTTCAAAGTTTTAAGAATTTTTCTGGACTGACTGAACTTCAGTTCTTGAATTGTAACAGTTGTCAAATAGGGCTGTCAGCTGTCTGCCAACCGGACTTTTGCACAACACAACCGATGCTCTCAACCTCATTAAGAAGGCAAGAAATACCACAAATGAGGCACAAAGCACAGATGTGAAGTGAAACCATCTCAGGTGACTTCATCATGAAGCTGCCTGAGAGACATTCAAGGGTTTGCAGCTGGTAACACAACAAAGGGCAGCTACTTTCAGGAATCTAAAATATAAAACATATTAAGACTAATTTAGTAGGATTTTTTTTGTTTGCTCCGTACGTTTGCATGTGTTCGTTCATAGTTTTGATGCCTTCAGTAAGAATCTACAATGATTGTTTGTGTCCAAACTTTTGGTAGTATATTTGTTTGTATTCGGGTCCCGGTACTCAGGTTTCACCTCTCAGTCCAAAATACACACTTATTAGGTTAATTTAGGTTCTCGAACTTTTTCACAGAGACCCCACAACGTTTCTCAGTCCATTACAAAAATACAAAAAAAAAAAAGAGGCTCGGCCCAAAAAGTCCAGTATTCCACTCGTATTTAACAGATCGCCGTGTGGCCATCTGTCAGTTGTTGTCAGTGTTATGGGGCAAAATCCTGTGTGTCTGAGGAGGAGCCCAAATCTTTGAGGACATTTGTTCACATTAAGTTTCTTAACTCTACTTTCAACCACAACTGCGTGCCAAGTCCTGTACGCTGAACCTAATTCTATCCCATCAAACCTAAACCCGAAACAGACACAAACTATTAAGAAAATGTTTTTACTCTGATCAGTTTTTCACTTAGTCTTTGGTTTAGACTTATGGCAGAATATCCTCATAGCTGTCCTCGTTTCCAAACTGTAACTTTATGACTGTGATCAGAGTCTTGTTGTCCTCCTGTGGTCATGTGATGTGATCTAAGAAAAGTAAAGCAGGCTACAGTCCATGTTAAAGGAGATTCAATCAGACGATATTTAACGAAACACACCAGATCTTCAACCAGCAGGACATCAGATGTACTGTACTGCTGTACTGCATGCACTGTGGCCATGAAAGCAGCAGGTCTGTTGATCATTATAAATATTCACTGAGGCCTGAACGGCTCAAACACAGTCTGAACTTCCAGGAAGCAGCTGACAAGAAATACTGGAGGCTTAAAAAAAGTCGGCGCTTGGGTCTATGGAGAAAGCTGAGCCAGCGGGACGGTGGGAAGGCTCGGCCGTGCGGCTCAAACCAGTTTCTAATGCCAAACGCCCATTTAGACCAACAGCTGCCTTTTTAAGTGTGAAGAGGAGGTGAAGATGCGACACCAAGTTTAGCCACGAGAAAGAAAAAGAATCGACACCAAGTTTGATCTGAAGATAATCGTCCTGATGAAGGGCTCTGTCCGAGTTTGTCAGTTTATTGAAGGTTGTGACTGAAACAGAAACACGTGCAGGAGATCTTAAACCAC